GGCTGGAGCGAACTCGAGGCGCCATACAAACTCATACAACTTAAACAAATTTAAAAAAAGTTTAAAAAATATATTTTTTATAAAATGTAAAAAAGTATATTCAAGTAATGATGATTATGAGGAAGATGATGAAGAAGAAGAATTTACTGATTCACTGGAGTCACTTAAATTTGAATTGGAAAGTTTTAAAGAATTAAAATAAAGAAACGGTTTATAACGAAAAATATCGCGTATTTCTCGAAGTTCTTCTATAATTTCTTTTTGTTCTTCTTCCTCTAACGAGTCTTCATCTGACGAGTCTTCAGAAGAGTAAAGTTCAAGTTCTTTGAGCTCCAATGCAACACTGGGATCAATTTCCTCTTCTTCTTCAGCACCTCGGGCAACTTCGACTTGGGTTCCAAACTTTTCTCGAATGAACTCAGCGCGTTCCGCAAAACCTTTTCCCTTAGCTATGTCGTCGAGGCGTGATTTTGTGAACGCAGAAGCAATCATCAAGTTTTCTAGTTTTCTGACTCTGCTCAAAGCTACGTAAGTAAGCCCCATAGCCATTTCAGCTGAGCCAACGTCTACTACAACTTTATCAAGTGTGAGACCTTGTGCTTTATGAATTGTTGAAGCGTAGGCAAGCATGATAGGCAACTGAGTTCGAGTGTGTTTGGTGCTTCCCTTTTTGAACTGCCTAGTCACAGGTACTATTGGAAAAAGACCTGGATAGTTCGGTAATGTGGGCCCAGTGTAGCCATCAAACTCCACCATTATATACTGGGGTAGAAGCGGTGGGAGCTCGCCTTCACCATAAACAATAGCTCTGACAGTGCCTAAAGAACCGTTCACAAGCCCATGTGATACTGAAATGTTTGTTCGAAGCATCACACGGTTTCCGACTTGCAATTTGATGATGTGCAAGAGGCCCTCTTCCATGTCTTCATCAATTGATTTGGATGTTTTTGATCGATAATCTGGCACATTGTGTGAGACAATTCGGGCAACTGGAAGCATTGTTTTGCGCAAAACCTCGTCATTGTGGCGAATCACTTGATTGTTTGTCGGGAACAGATGAGTAGCATTGTCAAAAGATGTAACTGTATTTTGACTCAAAACTGATTTTCGTCGAGTCATCATCAAGTTAAAATCCTTAGTTGTTGAGGTGCCGCTTGCAATGTTGTCAAGCATAATTCGAAATGCTTGAGCTTCTGGTCCGCTTTGGCGATGACACATCTGGAGTTCGACAAAATTGGTGAACTGGTTGAAAACTAATTTACCGCGAAGAGATTCTGTTGCCGCCGGTTGTTTGTCATACATTGGTCTGTCCATGACAGGTGGTAGTTGACGAAAATCACCAAACATCCAAACATAGAGTCCTCCAAATGGGTCCATACAACCTTTTGCTTCCTGGCACCGGCAGCAAAGGTAGTACAACATTTTCAAACCAACCATAGACATCTCGTCAATGATGAGGAATCTGATGTTTTTAAACTCTTCTTGCAATTTAGCAAGTGCTTCGCCTGCAAGCGGTTTGTATGCAGTGTCTTTTGGACTAATTTTAAACAAACTGTGAAGAGTTTTGCCGTCGATGTTGAGAGCAGCTAGTCCGGTCGGCGCTGCAACTGCTACAGAATTTGGCCATTCTTGATTGCCTCGATGGACAATTACTTTAATGATTGTGCTTTTTCCTGATCCTGCTTTTCCTTGAACGATGGTAAGTTTGTGAGGGACATTTGTAGAGTTTGGATTTTTTGAGTACTGAATTTGCTGCTCAACCAGGTTGACTAAATTTATCTGCTCATCTGAATATTGGATGTCGGTTCGCGGTTCGGTGTTTTGAGCACTTTCAGCTGGAGTCATGTTGTTTTTCAAAAATCGTTTCACTATATCAATAGATGGAAATCCTTCTGATGCTTCAGCCCAATCGTGTGCTTGATCAATTTCACGAAGTCCTGAAAAAAACTACAATTAAAATTAAGTTATGCTATTTGAAAACAAATTTACCTAAATCATCTTCAGTTGTTTCTTGGTGCAAATCGAGCTGAATATTGTTGATCATCCTTGCTGCAAGCATTGCAGGATCACGCTGTTCCTCTTCGTTGATCATTTCAGGAGCCTCTCCTTCTTCTTCAGGCACATTGGGCAGTTCAAAATGTCGATTTGCCATAATGTTCAAATTCATGTATCTGTGCTGCCACTTTTCATGGCGAACATCGATTGCAGCTTCATAAAGAAGATCATCAAATGACTGGAGAATGCGAAAAGGGGCGTTGAGAATCACTTGAAGGCGGTAAAATTGTTCCTTTTCCTCGTCAGTTCCACCTTCTTTAAGCTTTGGAAAAATGCGAACAACGGCTTCTTTCTTTCGAGTAGAATAGTGTATCACTCCTCGGGTAGTTGTTGTGTAATGATTTTTAGCAAAATGAAGCAAACTCATGTTTTCCCAATCAATCGTTTTGCCGCGATTAGTAACCACACCATTTGGGCGCTCCTTGTATTTTTCAATTAGTTTCTTTCCTTCTTTAACACTGCCGTCATTCTGATCCACAGCAATATTAACCCAGTCGTCGTCGTTGATGCATAAAACAACAAATGCGCGCGAAGAGTTGTACAAATCCCAGCCAAAAATGATTGTCATTACTTCTTGCGCTGAGTAGTCGCGTTCACCCAGTGTCTTGATCATAAGAGAAGAAATTAGATTTTTGGCTGGGGCATTATCATCCTTTTTGTCAAGTAGCGCCGTCATAAGATCTTTGAAGTTGGTAGAAGCTTTTTCGCCCTTTGATGCATACTTGGCAATGTAGGCGGCAACTGCTTCTCCATTGACAATAGCCGAAAAGTCAGTGTTTGCCCGCCAAATCTAATGCAAATAGAAATGTTTAAAACAATTTGCAATTAAATTTAGTTTAAAATCTTACTTGAGTTACTTGGGGGTTATATCTAGCCACTACTTCGTCGTTTCGTCGTGGAAAAAACTCAAGATGCCCTTCGTTGATATCAACAACGCTTTGCTCACGAAGTGGTTTTGGAAATTTAAAACGGCAATATTTTTCGCCTCCTTTTTTGAATTTTATGCAGTATGCTCCACATTTAGTGTGTCGTTGAAAGTAGTTGATCAGAGCATTGAGGTCTTGCATGTACTGATCTTCAGGTATTTCAGAAAACCGCTTCCGTGAAGGATGAGGCTGATTGCGGTGTTCATTTCCCAAATTGGGGTTAACAGCAACAGAAAGATGATCAAAGTACAAACGAATTATTTCAATTTGCTCTGGTGTCAAGTTTACTTGATCAACTTTAGGGGCATCTTCCAGCCAAAGCATTCCGTGCATGTGACCACTTCCTCTAAACTGCCATTCAAGTCTAAAAATAAAATTGTTTAGTCATAAAGTTTCATTAATTGTATTGCACAAACTAACCGGTTCCAAAAATCGACTACACCAAAAATAGGCTTTAGAATTTCGTCTCTGAATAGTTGGCATCGTTTTTGCAGAAAAAAAGCCACAATATCAGGATTGTCATGCATCAAATCTCGGCGCTCTTTTTCAGTTAATTCATCTGGATCACGAGAATCATCTTCAAGCAGCAATCGAAACAAATCAGGCCAGTGGTAGTCGGCAGCAGAAAGTGTGAAAAATATAGAAGGGCAGCCAATTTGATTGACAAAATCTAAAAGTTCTCCGCACCGTTGAGCCCAGTACTGTTGAGTTGAGCGCAACTTGGATGCATACGCCATCACTTTTCGAAGAAACCCAGGGTTATCTTTCATCCGCTCGCGAATAGATGCAACAGTTTGGCCTTCAAGAGCAGACCTTTTAACTGCAATGCCAGAACAGGACAATGCTTGATGACGAAGAAGAGTGTTCATAGCAAAATAGCAAAATCGTTTGTCTTTGATGAAACGCCGGTCTTCGTACTGAAGCAAGTACTCAATGTACTCTTTTTGCGTAATTCGAGTTGTTCGGGGGAACAAAAAGTCACCTTTGCCTGATGGAAAAAGGCAAGGAAAAGCTTTGGCAATGTATCCTTCAGTAGCAAATTCATCGACGGGTTTCCGAGACATCTCAGGGTAGGGCATTGTAAGTTGCTCGTGAATTTTCTCTTGTTGGTCTACAGGAAGAAGAAGTGGAACAAAAGTTTCATCTCTAATAATATCTTCCGCTTCATGTTCACCTAGGCTTTCGGCAGCACTTGGAGGGCCTTTAGAAGCTGCCGATTCTTCTGCACTCTCAGGCACGTCAATGGCAAACTCACGCATAACAGGCACCATGTCACCATCATCGGGAATTGATACAACATTTTCAAAATTAATGGTGATGTGTTGGTAGTATACGTTGTGCGCTTTAAGCCAAACGAGAGCGGTTACAATTTTTTCTCTGCGTGCTTTAAATTGAACTTGCCCAGTTGGAGTGTCTTTTGTAAACATGATTATTTTGGCAACATCAGCTGGAAGAAGGGGCAGCTCTGAATAGCATTGGCTAATGTTTTGGACAAACGAAATCACATTGCCCCTGTAACCAGTTTGGGCATTTTTGATGCGATAAAATTGAACTACTGGATGAACTTGAGCAATAAGCATCTGCTCAATGAGAGTAAGATCTTGTAACTCTGGTGGAACAGGCTCAATCACTAAATTGGGACTGACAAGCTTAGTTGGGTCAGCTTTGCATACAGAGCATAATCCATTCGGGTTGAGTTTTAAATCAGGAAATTTGCGCAGACAATTGGCGCATTGATTGAATTGAATAGCTTTCAAAATGTTGTCAAATTTAATTGCTGCTCTTTTGACTTTTTGCCCTTCGCTGTTGGTGTAATCAAGTAGTGGACGATTAACGTTTTGTTGATTTGGCTGATTTGTTTCTTCTTGCGAAGATTCACTCTCTTGTTGCTGTTGAGCTCGACGCCTGGCTACATGCTGGGTATTCTGTTCACGATCAGATCTCCCTTCAATAGAAACTCGTCGATTTCGAGGTCGAAGTTGTCGAGGTGGGATGATGTCAGCCTCTTCTTGAGAAGAAGCCTCTTCTTCTCGAATTCTAGCTCGATGAATAGCTACTCTCTCATTAGCTCTCTCAATTGAAGATCTTCCTGTAGAAGAACCCCTTCGTTTTGAGCGTCTAGGCATAATTGGTGACAAAAGTTAAAAACACTGATAAAAACAATACAGTTCACTTTAGTTTACAGTAGATATTGAATAGCATCAATATATGTGCACAGATGCTAGGCGTTAGCCAGCAGACAGGCGAATTGCCGTAACCAGTAGTTACCAATTGCTCATCATCGTCGAATGATGTCATCAATCGCGAAAAAGCACGCACAACCGCTCTCCCCGCCACAACAGTGCTCCCCCGTTTGTGTTTGCTCCCTGCACCCTAGCAGTTCTCACAACAGCGTTAACTGACAGTGTGTTGTCAATGGGAAAATTGGGTCAACTTTGACCGGTCATAACTCCACCAAAAAGCGGTCTCTTGCTAATCTGATTGAATACTGCAAACCACACAGACTTCAACTATTACTGTGCCAAATTTGGTGGCGATAGGACCCGAAATGAAAAAGTAGTTAGCGTTACAAGCCACCCTTCAAGTACAAAGCTTTCCTCATGTATTTCTATGGGAAAACAGGTCAACTTTGACCGGTCATAACTCCACCAAAAAGCGGTCTCTTGCTAATCTGATTGAATACTGCAAACCACACAGACTTCAACTATTACTGTGCCAAATTTGGTGGCGATAGGCCCCGAAATGAAAAAGTAGTTAGCGTTACAAGCCACCCTTCNAAAATTTTCCCATGTATTTTTCCCATAGAGATTTTGTTTTTTGACTTTGAAAGGCTGTAACTTTGCCAAATTTGAGTTTCTTTCTAAACGGAAAGTTTTATGCAAAACTACAACTCGTCAGCTATCTCTATGCCAAGTTTGGTAAGGTTTCGTCATAGTAGGTGTCGAGAAATAAGCCTGACAAAAGAACACCTAACTTTTTTTTCGACCCGATCCTAGGCTTCCACTCCAACACACTGCCACCAGATGTCGCT